GGGGGGGGGGGGGAAATGACATATTTAAGAGTACTTTTTTTTTTAAATCTTGTTTTTATTCAATGCAGGCATAATTTTTTTCCCCTCATCGAATATGCATTTTACTAATTCGGAAAATTAAAAAAACAAAACATTTAAGGTTTCTTGCAGGTTTGTTTTCCATTCTTAGATAACAAATTTCAGGGTAGATTCCCCCCCCCCCCCCCCAAAAAAAATTAAGAATGTTGAAAGCGATAAACTGTTACGTTGAGAGTGATAAGGTTGATAATGTTGAGAGCGAAAAGGATTGGAAATACATAATTACATTATCTTAAAGAGGATGTATTAGAGTTATATTAGAGATTGTGCAAAGAGATGTTTCGTAAAGAAGAAAGTATATTTATTTAGTTTACAAAGCAATATCGGATTTATGAAATCATCTGATGTTTGAGAGAATTAAATACAAATAAGAATTTGCTAGAATATAGAAACTAACAAATGACTAATACTTTATTATATTTTTTTAAAAAAATTGCCTCAAAAACAAGTTTATAAAAGTTTAACTGCATTGGAAAATCACTGCAATTATCTTTAAAAATTTCTTTTTTTAAATTAATTTTTTTGACACCGTAATAAACAAAACCATATATTTTAAGATCTTCTTTAAACTTGTTACCACAAATGTTTGAAATATGTCATGAAAAAAAAAAGAAAACGGGATAATAAAAGTTTGTCTTGCTTTGAATGAACTCGAAAATTTAATTTTTCACATGATTTTCGTTTATTAGAACGAAAGTTAGAAATAAACAAACGTTAACCATAAAACTATTCTACTATAACTACCACGCTCTTTATTTATCTAACTTACATTAGTACTTTGTAAATTAGTAATCAAATTTTTTCTTCTAAATTATATTCTTAGCATTAACTGTCTAATAAATTATGCTATGCTTATCCATATCAACAAAATTCTATGCATAGTCGCTTAATTTTTACGTGAATTCTTTAGGCTATTAATTTAAGCTTAAACGATGGCAATGTAGTATAACGCGATGGCGCTTATTTGGAAGAAAGTTTTTGATACAAATGACCTGAATATTGAAATAAAAAAGTGCTGTGATAACTCAAAAGATATCTTACCGTTTTTCTCCTTTTCCTAAAACGATGGATATAGAGCCGATCTTTAAACATCTAGTGTCTACTGCGGCCAAACCTAAAATGTTACTCAATATCTGTTTTAGATATAATAAATAAATAAAAAAAATTTAATACTATGTCAAACACCAACGACTGGCTTCGAATATTGATCGAAAATCTACTTAGAATTCGACGAAGATACAGCACCTCGCAATCAGCGGATAAAATCCAATTACAGGCTTAGAGAACGCTAAGTCTTAAAACAACTAAACTCGTCAAACGCGCTGGTGAAAGTTTCCCCTCTTTATACTTTCATAATATCATCTCTATAAAACTCAATTACCACCTTTTAAACCGCAGTTTAAGTTATTTTTATAGTGGCTCGCTTAACCGGGGTCAATCCTTTGGCTTTATGTAGGGAGTTCACGTACTGAGCCCTGAAGTTGTGCCCAGAATTCTATTATACCTTATTGTTCTTTTTTTTATTTTAATATTCTCCCCCGTACGAGATATTCTACTCGCTATGTCGATCTATCTGACCGTTCGCCAATATGTGCAAAACGTGATATGTTGAAATGTATGTTAGCGGAGCTTTCGATTTCACTGTAAGATGGCTACTGGTTTTTTTTATAGCATCACGTTTTCAGATGGCGGCTAGAGACTGCTTCTTTTTGTTGCTTCTTTGGGTTGAGATTTTTCTCGTCTGCTGTTACGCCCGGGCACGTAGCGAGGAAGTCGGCTTGCACCAGGAAATATCTACGTGAGTACATTTTTGAGGACTTGGTGGTCCTTGGTAAAGAGATTATGTCTAGGAGAAAGTCTTTTGTGTTATATTATTGCGGTAAAGACACAAAAGGACAATGATAAGTTGTGGTATACGCTTTCGGATTAGAGATACTATATGGCAGTGAACAATTATTATGGACGATATTTGTTACAGTTTTCCATTACGGCTACGTGAGTAGCTTACAACTCGCATATTCTTTTGACATTCCTATCAAGGTTAAGATGCATATATTTCAGAACTTTTTTTTAATGCTTATTGATATGTAATTCAGATTCATGACAATTTCATAACATATTCATCACGTTAAAAAAAATTCATTAAATATTTTTTATGTTAGAAACCTTAGATGAGGCAGGTTCGGTTACGGGTTTAACAAAATCAAATGATTCTGATTTCAATCAAATAGTATTCGACGCGAATCAGAACATCAAAGTGATTGCAATAAAATTTTATAGGTCCTTAAATCATTTTTTATAGTTTCTGGGGATATTTATTTTATATAGCGAAATAGTAATTAAATTTACTGAAATGCACCATATATTTCTCTAACTCTTTATTATTAAGAAACTTAGTCTATCATTTGACTTTATTTGCGATTTTACTATAAGTGATTTGCTTTATCAAAGGCGCACGTTTTTGTTTAAAATAGGTGGCTAAATTTACTTTCCTTAAAAGCAGTTCGCGTAAAAATAAATTTAATTATTTTGGCAATTATTTCATTGTTTTTTAACATCGGAATATATTTCTTATACTTTTAATTTCGCTTCTAATTACGTTTAAGTTTAGTTTGTCTATGGCAAGAACTCTCAAATCACACCTCTTAAACCGTCTTTTGAACAATGGTAAGTTCCACCGTTTTTATTACTATTATTATTATTTTGTCTTGAAGCGTGCTACCTGGTTTTAGCATAAAACTTCATTTAAACTATCACTATCATCAAACTATCATTTTAATGTAAAACTTTATAAACTATCATTTTTGACGTTCTTATCCCAAAGATTATTTATAAAATTAGTGCTTTTATTTTATTAAATACAAGCCGCTCCCAACGGTCAACCGATCTGCTTTTTAAAAAAAGACAGAATTTTAAGTTTTTCGAGATTCAAAATCATACAGCAAAAATTCAAAACAGCTATATAAAAATCAGAACAGAGCAAAATGGGTAAATATAATAAACTCATACTGCACAAGTAAGAGTGAATTTAATTTTTGTCTCATACATGTTCTTATGGTACCGCAGTGAAATTGTAATTGAAATATTTAGCAAAACGTTAAAAAAAGTAATAATAATTATCTCAATGATGCCTTTGAGAGCAAACTGTACGCTCATTTTCTTTTATTATTGCATCAAGACAATAAATTTCATTTAAAAGGGTAAAGATCCGATTATTAAATCATAAGTTATTTAGGGTAGAAAGTTTTTTTTTCTTTGTGCACTGTACCTTTGGGGCGATTATCCACTGTTGACACACATCTTCTACTTATTATAATGACCATACGTTGATTTTTTTTCTGAGTTATCACCCTCACAAACTTATTAACCGAGATTAATGAGTATAAATTTTAATATCATGATACATTTTCCCCATAAGTAATTCTACATCGGCTTCCAATAATTTCTACACTGGTGTCATTATTTTTGCAGCCCAATTAAAGTTTAGCAACATTCATTAATTATCGCTATGAATAATAATCAAAATATTTTTATATCAAATGCATCAATGTGTCTTATCTGTAGCAGTAACTTTTTTTAAATTAGAACTTGATGTTGTTTTACTTGTTGGCTAACTTGGCTTCAAGGCACCAATGACTGATTAGCACTGATTTCTTTTTAGGTTTTTTATATTTATAAATTTATGATATATTCATTCAAAGTATAATGATATAAAGTTTAAAAATTTGTTGTTGTTGTTTCTAATGCGACTTGCCACGCTAGCAAGCCTGCTTGGTGAAACCGAGCAAATTTAAGGCAGAGGATGCGTTTATTGCTTTTTAGTGGCGCCATCTATGGCCAAGAATTCGTCTTTAGCCACACACACACGTCACACCCGTTTATAGGGCGGATCCATTCATACATCCATTCATTCATCCACAGACCGTAATTTTTGACCTGGATAAGAGAACGATCGATCTCCAATCCAGTACCCAAAGGAGTTATTGATTTGTTATGGGAACATGGAGGACTTTGCCACTCGACAGATTTAACGTGCATCAGTCACCATTTACTACACGGGGAGTCTTCGGCCGGCGTGGTTTGACCCCACGAACTCTCGGACATGGACCCAGCGTCCTACCGACCAGGCTATCCCGGCCTAAAGTTTAAAAATTTAAAATTTGTTATCAAACAAAGATGTTAAAACGATTACTATAAAATTTTTTAGCACTCGAATTTAATAAATTTAAGGGATTTGAAATTTAAATGCCTTTTAGAAGAATAAGAATAATTATATTTAAGTTAAACAGTATAATCGGGGGGATATAATCTTTTTATCAATTTTCGATAACTTATGTCAGTTTGCATTTTGTTGATACTAGTTTTACTTCTGCACTTAAACTATGCGTTTAGCGAGCTTGTAGGATATTTAACTTCTAGGGTATTTCACTTCTAGATATTTAACTTTCTTGGATAATCTATCGAGAAATAACACTAAGAAACAGTTTGATGTAATTATTACAATATTTTACTATTATTCTATATCTTACCATTCATTACTATATTTTTTTTTATCTAAACTACACTAATTCACAATAATTAAAAAAAAAAAAAAACTTAAGACGAACACTAGAATTATGCGAAACTATGAACACGTTAATTTTGTAAGGTGTGTGGGGCTAGTAGTTATCGAAAATGTCAACCTTCATCTATGAAAGTGTACCCCAACAGAGAATTTAGTTAACATGTCTTATATACTAGGGAATTGGAATTATATTTTTGTAGTGGTAGATACGCTACAGTACTCCCCCACCAGAATTATATCTGTGATAGAATTCGATGAACGGATACCACTAGTTGATTCATTGCTGTTTTGTGCGAAGCCGGGAGAGCTGGATTAAGATCACCGTACTTTTTGAGTGCTGATTGTGAGAGCTGTATTAGGTTCACGGTAGTAGTCTCTTCTGTGTAGCCATTAGCAGTCGAGTGTATACGTTGTGTGTGATCGAGACTGAGAAGCAACAGCGTGAGAAGGATAATGTCCCACTCACAAGTAGCAAGTCAACTGTTCAATGTGGACCATCCATCAAAGTAGGCATGTCCACATCTCGTCCGGGTCACCAATGTGGGGAGAAGGTTATCGACGACAATGTCAACCTTCATTTATAAAAAGGTACCCCAACATAGAATCTAGTTAACATGTCCTATATACTATGGAATTGGTGGTGTATGTACACTACATTTTTGTAGAGGTAGTATGCTATTTTTGTAGTGGTATATACACTGCAGGTGTAACAAAGGAACCACCCCAACCTTCACCGATAAAATGTTCTGTCAAAGAGACTCTTTTCGAATATAAAAGAAGTATATGTCTCCAAAGTATCAACTTATTTCTTATAATAAATTTAATTTTATCAAATAAATTTAAACAGCAAATAAATTTAATTTTTTTCACGCTGCTGTCTTTTGGATAAATCGATATCATTCAATAAAATATATTTTTAACACAGAAATAAATGTTCCATTTCGAAAGCCCTTTTATGAATTATTTTCCAATAAAATACTTAATAAAATTAGAATTGCTAAAAAAGAACATTTAAGGTAACGACAAAATCTCAAAAGTATTAAAAATAATGCCATTTTATCGAATCGGCAAAGCTGTAACATCATGTTAACAGTTGCGCCAATGCGTCGTTCGTGAGTCATTTCATTAAAGACATATTTGCTCTCTAAATATAAAACTCGAATAATTCAGCTTGAAATTTTAGTTTATTGCTTTTTCAGCAATATATAAAGGTAATACTATCACATCTGAAATCACATTTTGAATAAAAGTAAGTTCCACCATTTTTTTTCTTTTGTCGTGAAGCCGTTTACCTGGTTTTAGTGCAAAACTTTTAAACAATCATTTTTGACTTTCTTATCCCAAAGATCATTTATAAAACTAATGCTTTTATTTTATTAAATACAAGCCGCTCCCAACGATCAATCGATCTGTTTTTTAAAAAAGACAGAATTTTAAGTTTTTCTATATTCAAAATCACATAGTAAAAAATCAAAACAGTATGTAAATATAATAAAATCATATTTCTGAGGTGAGAGATGATTTAATTTTTGTCTCTTGCATGCTTACGGTATCGCAGTGAAATTTTAATTGAAATATTTAGTGCAACATTTGTTGACATTAAAATAACAATAATAATTATCTCAACGATGCCTTTGAGGGCTAGCTGTACACTCATTTGCTTTTATTAATTCTGCAAGACAATAAATTTCATTTGAAAGGATAAAGATCTGATCATTAGAACAAAAGTTACTTAGGGTAATCAGTTTTTTTTTCGCACTGTGCCTTTGGGGTAATTATCCGCTGTTGGTACCCATCTTCTCATCTTCCACTTATAGGTTATAGTAACCATACGTTGATAGAGTTGCCACTCAGACAAACATCATTACCCTCATCATAACCATGCGTTGATAGAGTTACCACTCACGCAAACATCATTACCCTCATCATAACCATGCGTTGATAGAGTTACCACTCACACAAACATCATTACCCTCATCATAACCATACGTTGATAGAGGTACCACTCACGCGAACATCATTGCCCAGACTAATAATCCTTATTTTTGTAGCCCTAATAAAGTTCAGCAACATTCATTAATTATCGCTATGAATAATATTCACAATATTGTTATATTAAATGCATCAATGTGCCTTATTTGTAGCAGTAACTTTTTTAAAATTAGAACTTGATGTTGTTTTACTTGTTGACGAACTTTGCTTCAAGGCACCAATAACTGATTAGCACTGATTTCTTTTTAGATTTTTTAAATTTATAAATTTATGATGCATTTATTCAAAGTATATTGATATAAAGTGTAAGAATTTAAAATTCGCTATCAAAAGAAGATTTGGGAACGATTGCTGTAAAATTTTTTAGTATTCGAATTTAAATTTTAAGGGCTTTGAAATTCAGACGAATAAGAATAATTATATTTATGTTATGCAGTATCACTGACGGGGAAATGTAATCTTTTTCACAATCTTCGATAATTTATGTCAGTTTGGATATTTGTTTCTACCAGTTTTTCTTCTGCATTTAAAATATGCGTTTAGCAAGCTTGCTGGATATTTGATTTTTATTTTTTTACTGTTTTTGTCTGTTTCTATTTTTTAAAATATTTTGTAAACATGTTATTTCTCTGGTCGCTCATGTCTTAACAGTTTTCATCTTAGAAATTTCTTATTTTTGATACTGTGTTCGAATCACATATTGCCGGAAAAAGGTGATTGAGAATTTGCTAGCTGCAGGAAGAAAAAAAAAAACGATTCAAATCTGTGATCCCATTCTCAAGCTATTAGTAAACTTACATTCAGACAGACTGTTGCTTTTACATGTAAAAAGAAGAAAAAAAACCAAATCCCCTCAAATGTTTTCAAACTATCTATAGTGCCCCAAACTTTGACCGCAAGAATTTTGGGCATGGTTTATCGAATCTTACGGAAGAAATTACTTCTATTACAATAATATCCTTCGCGTGAATTTAAACAGAGGAACGTAAATTTATTATATCATCATTAACTTTTTATCAATCATTGTGATTATTTTATCCCTCATACTATAATTTTCAAGTTCCTTTACTTTTCATATTATCAAAATTATTAATTATTTTAATTACGTTATAATTGGAAATCTTATTTATTACTCTTTATTTTAACCATCTTAATATTATAATTTTAAAAACATATGTAATTGAGCCATCTTATTTATTACCATTTATTCTAAAAATAGTAATATTATAATTTTAAAAACATATATAATTGAGCCATCTTATTTATTACTATTTATTCTAACCATCTTAATATTATAATTTTAAAAACATATATATTTGAGTCTAAAAAGAACTGTGCCAATTTGTATATAACTTTATTTGTATTTGTAATGTATTAGACAATAACAATTTGCATTTGTATAGTATTAGATATACAAGGTCTGGCTATTAATTTCCAGGACTCATGGAATAACTCAGAAGAAANAATTCAAAAAATGATTGATGGTTTCTAAGTTTTTATATAATTTTTTCTTNTTGAAGGTTTCTAGGTTTTTATATATTTTTTTCTTTTAACAGGGCGCAATTCTAGTCTTAACTGAGCAGCCCCAGTTAAGTATTCTATTTGTCTACGTAAACCATCGGGGTACTTTCTCCTGACCTTTTCCATTTCATTTTAAACTTCTTCTGCGCATTATAATAGGGGGCGTTGGTTTTTCAGTTTTTAGTGTTTTCTTTTCCTCTACTTGCTTTTGAAGTTGATGCTTGACCTGTGACTTAGTGAGTTTTTATTTTTCTGATGATTTTGATTGATTTTCTTTTCTTAATTTGTTAATTATTTTGAATGTATCCTGTTTTTCCTGGACCTCTATACAGAACCATCGGGGTACTGAGGGAGATTTTTCAAGCATTTGCTTATTCCTCAAATAGAAATGGTTTTGTTTTTAATGGCTACCGAGGCCGGTACCCCCTGAAGACGTCGACTTCGGTGGTCATATTTTTATTTTTATTTCATTCGTTTCTTGTATAATTGAGCCATCTTATTTATTACCATTTATTCTAACCATCTTAATATTATAATTTTAAAAACATATAAGCAAATTGGCACAGCTATTTTTAGACTCTAATATATAACTTTATTTGCATTTGTAATGTATTAGACAATGACAATTTGTATTTGTATTGTATTAGATATATTAAATGACATTTTCGGCAATACAACCATTACTTATTTTTATAAGTCCAATTATTATTAATTTTACCAATCGTATTATCCTTTAATATTTTTTTTCTTTTTTCCAACATCCGCTGTTACGATGACGTCGATTGTCAACAAATAGCCCTAGAAAATGAAGAGATATGATAAAAGCATGGCTTAAGAATAAGTTTCCATAGAGTAAGGGACCAGTAAAAAAGGTCGAAACATTAGGGCAGTTTTTGAGGAGGTCACCAACCATATGAATTCGATGGCAGTTAAGGCAATCAGCTGAATCATTTACTTCTATCAGAAGTAAACGATTATCACTAAGTCTAGCAATCTTATTATTGCAATAACAAGATAGATTGCTATAATAAGATTATCGATTAATATACCGATTAAAATATCGATATTTAGATTATAATAAGATAATCGATTGCTACAATAAGATTGCCAAGTCTAGCAATCTTATTATAGCAATCTTATTATCTAATTTATTCAAACCATTTTAGAGTTATATATTTTATCAATCATATTACTATATTTTTATAATAGTATTATTATTTAGTTCATCAATCGGATAAACTTTTTATCAATTCTATTATTATTTATTTTATCAATTCAATTAGTATTTATTCTATCACTTCGATTATTGTTTTTCCATCAAACGTAGTCAGGCCCTCAATGAACTGATCGAAAGACACGGTTCCCAGTAGAACACCGAAGTCAAGCATTATTGACTGCGGTCAGTGTTGACCACTTTGATCAGGCTACGAAGGGAAAAAGGGTATGCGGTATCGGTCCTCGTTAAACTCATCTACCGCAGAGTGTTCGACTTCGCGTGCAGCTCTTCGGACTGCCGAAGCGGGGAGCCATCCCCTTAGCAGAGGATCAGAATTGTAACGACATGCCTTCGGATCATCCTCAGGGATGTTTCCCACACAATCGCCAATAGCCCATTGTGCAGCTCTAGTGCTACGTAAATAAACAACAAACAAACAATATAGCGCGACTTTGAGGAGAACTCCCCCAGACCGAAAGTCTGGGGCTGTTTGCTGCTATGGTAACAAGTGGGAACACATTTCTAATGGGGGGGAAATGGAGGAAAGAAGGTGTCGATTGGCTTACTCACGAGGACCTATGCTAAGATAAAGACAAAACTATTCACCACACACCCCTATTCGAAGTGACCTCTCCTCGTAACCATAGTACCAGCCACGACGCGAGACGGGTGTCAGGAGGAGTTCTCTTGACAGCTTATTTAAAAATATTATTATAATTTATTTGAATAATCATCAACTTACTTGTTATTCATACTTTAGGCATTTTATTGCTTAATCACTTTTCAATGTTTGTTGTTGCTAAGAGCTACATTAGTTTACATTTTTACAGATCATTGCTGTGGTATTTAGAAAGAAAAAATGAAGACAATGCTTCGATACATATTGTTCTTGACTCTTACAATTTTATGTTTTGTGGTAGCCACTGACGCTTTATATTATAATCCATTAGATAATCAAGTTCATCGTAGGACTCTGCCAACCCCAAAAGATATTGGATCCGTAAGTAACATTTACCACCAATTTATTTACAATTCACATTTACCATATACTATTAATTTTTCTTGCAACTTGTAGTTTCTTATAACTCTAACTTTTGTCGTTGCACACTTATTAATAACATTTTGTTGGTGTAATTTTTTTTTTAATTTATTAATATTTTGTGTAACACATTAAGAATCATTAACCCAAAAACTGTAACTAAAGGTCTTTTAATGAAAATTTTGCTTCATGGAACTTATAACGTTTTCTGGAAATGCAATCAGCGAATGATACTTGATTTTGTTGCCTACTTCCTTCTAAAATGCAACTTATCTCATTGTTACACATTGATTTCATTTGCTTAAAACTTGCTAAATTATTAAGAGTATTTCATAATCAAGATTTTCAAATATCACCGCTTTTAAAATATATTTCAGTGAGGAGACCGGCCTGTGTAGGGGGCAAGGAACTGTCCTTGCAACGGAAAGGTTCTGGGTTCGAATCCCGGGCAAGGCATGGATGTTCTTTCCTTCTCTGTACTAGCTGTCCATACTGTGGGAGCGACGTTGGCCCACCTCTTCGCCAAAGAATACCTAAGGCCCACCTAATATGGTGTCCCTGAAAGAGAGGTCAACAAAATCGCCCTGTAGATGCCTGAATTGACGGATGTTAACACAGGTGGGCATTAGAAAAAAAAATTAAAGCTACAGTGGACTCCCAAAATCTAGAAAATCTCTCAAAAAATCGATTTACTAATTTTGAACATTTTACATTAATTAAATGATATAAAAAAAGCATATTAATTATTAAAATCATAAGATTTGAAAAATTTAGAGCTTTCTTATTACAAAAACTTGTCTATTGTGAGTGTCTTGTGCTGTGTTTCTCGAAACAAAAGTTTCGCATCTAAATGGAAATAGTTCCATAGGCTATCATTTTGATGACTATTATATGAAACATTTTTGACACACTCTCTAGATCTGCTGAACGCAGAATAGATTAGCCTATACTGCTGAACGCAGAATATTCATTTCGGACGAATAAAGGAAGAAGCTTCTGCGGAAGACAAAACTCAGTTCTTTTGCATTTGTCTTCCACCCTCCCCCCCCCCTCTTCC